GCTAAAAGGGAGAACTGGACTCTGAGCTCCTCCTTCACCTGTAAAAGGGCAGGGCAATCATAAATGCTTATGGACGGAAGGAGTATCGTATCAGTGATCTTACTCCAACACGAGGAAAATTATAAGTGCTCAAGCACTTTTTTAAAAAAACTTAGTTTTAACTTAAACTTGTTATGATTCATCAATTTAATAATCACATAATACTGATTTATTTTCAAACGAGTTTTTATTAAGCATCCCTTGGGTTGAGGACCGATAAAGCTTGTCTTGTGGAAAATTGTGAAAAGGTGTAGTCAGCCACAATTATTTCTGCAGTTACAGAAACACATGTATCCGGTGTGGGAACATTGGAAGGATAGGAGAACACCCTATTCCTCCCCCAACTCATATCAGAGGTTATCTTCCAACAACCCCACTTCTTGCTTTTTCACAAGTGAAAAATTTTATTTCATGACTTAAATTCAGCCGTTTTGGGGAGCCCATACTAGCGCAAGCATATTAAGTGCTTACATTTGAAAATTTTATTTTCATGGCTTTCACTGAGATTTTAGTTAAGGACAAAGGTGTGAAAATGCTAAGTTTGGAGAAGGAAATTTTCTGTGGATTACAACTACATTTTTCAGTGGCTTTTTCCATTAGCACCTGGATCAAATTTGCAACTAGAGGAAAATTATATTTGGACACCACAGATAGCCAGATGGCCAAGTCGATCACCAACTAACTCCTTCATCAAATAACATACTTTTTTGGATAAAAAATGCATGGAGCTGCCCAAGAAAAGGAAGGAAAGATTACATCAGGCACTACTGTCCTAGCCTGGATTAAGAGCCTAAGGGACAGCAGAGCAAAGGATCAACTAGCACTGACAAACTGAGTGAGGATATAAGGCTGATTTAAACTCATTTACATATTTGCATAGGGCCTCTCTCTGTTCATAATAAAGGATACATTTGGCAACCTGACATTGTCCTTGGCTCTGTACCTCTGAGTCTTTGCACTCCAAGAATATAAAACAAAGGCAGCAGAAATGAAGAGAAACTCATAAAGTTGCTCTCAGATTTTCCTAAAGTGTAAACCAGGATTTCTCAGTCTCTGACAAACTAAGGTGTTTTCCTGTGTTTGCGCTGACACAGAGAAAGGAAACATGACACCCTGTTAGTGAATTTTAATAATGACTCCCTCAAGTTAGGACTCATAGGAAGGACTGGCAGGAAGCCATCCTCTGGGGTAAGTCTGTGGCGAAGTCTCTCTTACCCTAGTGTGAATTATCGGGAACAGGCTCAGCCTCTCTGTCTACTCCCAAAGCATCGGTTATCTCATCTCCTAAGGCTTTTCCTGAAGACAGGTGGGCAGCTTCACTGTAGCACTGTGTTGGACTCTCAGGGACATTTAAGTAGATATTGAGGTTGGTGTTTCTAGGCGATTATAGTCTAGGCTATTTGTGTAAGGAAGCTATTGAAGAGCAACCTGGCCTGCAGAAATGTATTCTAAAGGGGAAAATACTCTTTGCTGATATGTTTTGGGGGCCACCAACAGTGCTTGAAAGCACAACAAAATAAAAAAAATGAACTTGAATGACTTTGACAGAATGTGACTTCTGTTGTTTAGTCTGCGCCATAGCATTTCTTTATTTCACTGTAGCTTCTTGGCCTAGGAAAGCCATTTGCCTTCACACAGTCTCTGGTATATACACTGAATGGTCACAGAGCTCTAATATTCTTGGACAAAAGCACTTGGGGAGTTAAAGCTTTCGAGGATTAGAACACGATGCGAGTCTTAGCTCTTGCACTACCTGCTGAAAGCTGAGGGTTTACCTAGGCGTTCATGTCCCCGTGTCTTTCCAGTAACTTCCTTTACAGTACGCATTTTAACCTGGGACTCTCTCATGCTCTATTGTATAGTGTGGACTCTACAGCGTGTTTTTAAGCTGCTTAGTGAGAATTTCAGTAGAGTATCTCCCAGCTCCTGTATCACCCTAGCCCAAAGCATTGTCTGGCTTCCTGCTTTTTCTAACCCAGTGAATGCTATCACTGTGCTCGGTCCACAAATCCAACCATCATCCATAGTTCCTTGTTGAATGTTACTCTTCCAAGAGAGGTACCAGGTATGGGATTTTGATGTCTTTTCCCAGACCTTACTATCTCCTTATGCATACTATGTGTGCCAACTGCTTAGTTCCATCCAGCAAAGATTGGAATCCCTGAAGCCTCAATCCTTTGGGCCTTAATAGAGTTAAAAACACCCAGGATAACATTCAGAGAGGTACAGCACATGGCATAGAACTTCAGACTGTAACAGAATCTACTCCTCCCCCAACTCATAGGTAAAGTTAATTCTCATTTTCTTCCTCAAAAAGTGGGAAATCCAAGCAATCACAGGAAGCAAAGAAAGCAACTCTCAGCTCATTTATGTCTAAAGGTAAGACAATTAAATCGAGCACCACAGTAGGCCAACCCCAAACTTATTCAGACCATGACCGTGGGTAACTAATACGTCCCAGCAGCAAAAAGCTACATTCTTCATCCAAACAAATAATTGAACAATAATTATGTTATTTCAAAGAATCCTTTTTTACAGCCAATTCCTGATTTTTTAAATATTATGAACTCCTTCCTCTCAAGAGACTGACTATGCTAAAACTACAGGAGTTAGAAAATATTAGAGAGTAAATTTTCAGTGTTCTCACCTCAAAAAAAAAATGATGTGCTGCCTATATTTTTTTTTTTTGGTTTTTGGTTTTTCTCCGGTACCGGGAACCGAACTCATGACCTTGTGCTTGCCAGGCAGGCGCTTTGCCGCTGAGCTAAATCCCCAGCCCCGTGCTGCCTATATTAATTAGCTCAATTGAGCCTTTCCACAGTGTATGTATATTTCAAAATATGCTGTACATGATACATATATATAGTTTTTGTACCTGATGTACATGATACATTTTGTACATATATGTACATGATACACATATATATTATTTTGTGAAATAATAGAAAGATGCTTATACATACTTATGGATATAGAAATTCAGAAGGAAGTTTGAAGGGAGCTGGGGAGTTTGGACCATCTCTCCATGCTATTGGGATTGTGTTTATCGAAGGGGTGAGACTGACAGATGCATCTGCCTGCATGAAAGACAGCCGCCCTGACTATCTGACCAAGGTGTGCTCTGCAGCATACCTGCCCATGTCATTGCCCTATGATGCTGCCAAGAACCAACATACTTAGGGCTCTCCAGAGGCCTACTTCTTGCAAAGATTATCCAGTTGAATTATTCCCTCCCATCTAGTAGTCTAACTCTGCATGTATAAAATTACTTTGCACTGAAATTTGCAACCTATATGTAAAGTAAGCATGGAAAAACATAATGTAAATCACATGCAGTTATTATTCAACCAAACATCTATAAAATTGTACATGCCAATAAGAGTAAAGAATTTTAATTAATTATATCATTTAAAATTCATGCATTATTCCATCTTTTGCCTCCAGAATGTTTTTATTGTTAATTTTGAAAGAGCTTTAAGTAGAAAGAATTAGATATTATTGAATGGAGAACAGCTTATTTCAACCTATACTGTAGTGCTGTGACCAATTTCAGATATATTTGAGACATAAATCATATTCTCAGGTTGTAATTTTTTTTAAAAAAGAATGGAACATTTTATAGTGTTAAACGGGATTTACATTGTACAATAGAGGAATTTCTGTGTTTACAGATGTTTATTAACACTTGTTATCTTTAGGCTTTAAATAAGTTACTAAGATGATTGCAAATCCTTTTGTTCAGAACAAATCCTGCCATCAATCAGGGTTGTTTTGAGATACAGATTCAGTTAGTGCATTCATAGGACTTTCTAAAATTCACTGGAATTCAAAGAACTGATTGTTGTATGTCACTTTATTTCAGTTTCAGAATGATATCACTTATTATGTCTTTTATTTCAAAGTTAGTAGCTGTAACAGGAGGAGGAAGAGTCAATTTCCTTTTAGAAAATGGAAAATAATCACTTTTTTCTCCACTTTATGGGTGAACAGATTTAGTTGCTATAACTCTCTGATAGTCTAAGGCAAATTGAAAATTTGTTTGAACTGCATTTTTCCCTTTTATAATTTTCCAAGTTAAATGGTGTATCCATCTAGTAGAATAACTGATATAGAAAATTATTCAAGTTACAGTATTACACAAAAAATTGTAAAACAATACATATCCCATGGTTTCATCTGTAATTTTTTTAGCTTAGAAAAATTATGGCGAGATACCCAATAAGATTTTGTAAAAATAATTAACTCTGAATAAGAAATATGGGTTGATTCATGCTTCAAATTTTATACCCTTTTGTATATCAGTACTTTTATACGTACATATCACTATGAAGATAAATTGAAAGGAACTCTCTTCAAATAACATTGACTAGAGTTTGGCACTCACTTTGGATTACAGACAGAGATGGGAAGTGTTTAGAATACCTCCAGTCTTTGAAAGAAGAGTAAATTATGTGCAGAGAAGGACAAGAATACAGCGAGCAGAAAATAGGCGGACAGGGCCAAGGAGGAACAAGGGGACAAGTTGCGCTATGGTGGCAGTTGGTAGTGTGGCCAAATCCGAGCACAGTGTCCCTGAGATTTAGGGGACGCTTTCAAGGATCACTTCATGTGTAGGGCTTACAACAACAACAAATTCTATGACTATGACCTTTATGTTTCTCAGTAAACTTCAGGTATAGGAATGCATCCGTCCTATCACCGCTGTAGAGGAAACACCGAAGAGTAAACGGTCATTCTAAATCAAGCATAGTCCCGTAGGATACCCAGGTAGGGAGAAGTACTAGCACAAAAGCTTATTCTAATCTCTGTGAGGTGTAGCACTCCAAAAACAAATTAAGTTAGCAGGGATCACTGCACACTTGTTGGAGCGGTTTCAGAGATTCAGACCCCTGTGATGAAGGCCTAGGTCAAGAGGCTGTAGATTTTAATCTGCAAATAATGGTTGTTGCTTGAGAAACAAGATGCTCCAAACTTTTCTTACATTTTCACATGAATAAATAATCCTGGGTGCATGTCTGCCACTTTGGCAACTCTAAAAGACCTATAAATTTGGGCTATAAATATAGTAAGAGCAAATATTAAGTCTCACCACCATCTGTCTTGTTATTCTCTCCTTGATGACATTGCTGTCTCAATTATCATCTCCCTTTTTGACATCATCAGTGTCTACTGGTAATTTATTCTTCTGACTACACAACATGGTTAAGTAGCTCCCACCTTAAAAATGTAAAAATGGTATTACTTGATCCCCTTTAAAACTCTACCATTTTTCTAATCTAATTTCAGCAGGATGGTTTGTAACTTTCTGACTCATACATCTTGTTGCTTTGGTTTCTACTCACTCTGCCAGCACTTCAGTGTGTCACCTGGCCCCCCACAGAGTAGAGACTGCTCTAGTGGAGACCAGAAGTGACCATGGTGCCAGAGGTACGGAATGATTTCTGTCTCATCTTGAGAGGTGATTCTGTCTCATCTTTTATGACTTTTCATGAGCGTCTTTTTCTCAAGCACCACTATCCTCTCTTGACATTTTTTTCTTTGGTTTACTTATATGTATCATCACATATCATCCTCTTTTTATAAGGGAATTAATGCCACAGTAAAGGCCCCATCCTCAAATATAATTAATTACTTAGCTTCTAAGAACCCTATTTCCAGATACAATGGCATTAGAAACCAGGGTTTCAATGTAAAAATTGGAGAGGAATACAGTGCCACGGTATTGATATATGAGAATGCATCTTGCCATCTCTGTTGTCTCTGTCTCCATCTCTGTCTCTGTCTCTGCCTCTATCTCTCTTCCTGCCCCACTCTGTCTTTTAGATGGGGAAAATAGGTTAAGTGTGATGGGGAAAATAGGTTAAGTGTGATGAGAAGAATTCCTCAACTCCAGATCATAGATTCTTCAATGATGAATTATTACTATTGAATACAGGAAATAAAAGGCTGAATGAATAATTAATAACCATTTTCAGCATGTGAAATTATATTTAAAATATGATAGAAGTGGTTTCAACTTAGACTGGGACAGATGGAAGGATACTCACTGTAACAGATTAGACTTTAGGAAAAAATGGATTGCTTGGAAAATTGTCAGCAAATATTCTGCATATTTCAGCATCTTACTCTATCAAGATTTTTAAGGCATAGTTAAAGTCTACTTCTCTAATCTAAGTTATACACTTAAGGATGATGGAGTAAATACCTTAAATTCTCTTCTTTCCTCATATGGGGCTTGGATGAGAGGTAGCATCCCAGCTGGTACTGCCTTTAGATCCAGTGGATAAGTCTTTCTGCCACAAACACTGTTCTCCCCAGGGCGCCGCTTGGTCTCACAGATTCCCAGGTGCATTCTGACGCAGCCATATACTCATAAAGCCATGAGGTGCCCACGCTCCTACCATGCCCCTCCCTTCTGGACCACACGTGGGATAACCATGGCAACCTTGTTTGATCTAAACATCTTGAGCTCCCACCAGAACTTTTAGAGGCTGTTTCTCTAGATTCTTTCTTTAAATCAAGTGAAGGAAACACCC